TTACAATGCGCACATGTAGTGTATAGGTAGGTAGGGATGTGGGATGAATTTGTGGGGTATGAGATCCCAGCTCTATTATGATTTATGAGCACACATCCATCCCCATTCATTTTTTAGTAAATAAATTTTTGAGGAGGTTGTGAGCTCCTTGCTAGCTGAGATTGAAATTTGAGTGTATACTGTTGAATATTTTGTTATATATATTTTTACACTAAAACAATGTCCATGGAACTGCAGTTGTTATACTTGAAACTATGGGGAAGTTTTCAATGTATTCTTTAATTTATTTGTATTTGCTTGTTTTTTTCTGTTTTCCCTTATCCCTGTTTCAGTTTGTAATTGTATTTTCTTCTTGAATGATATGATTATCGGTTTCCTAAAAAAAAAAAAAAAAGCTTCAAGTAAAAATTATGATAAAGTATACCCAATCCTACCGTATTATTGTTATTTTTCATATTTATTCTTTTTTGATATTTTGGACCCCACGTCCATTTAAATGTGGACCCATGTTACCACATGATTAAATAATCACTTGTAAGAGGCTCCATAAAAGATTTTGGTGCATGTATCATATACAACACTACGCTAGGGCTGCAAATTGAATTGGATATTAGTAGTGTTTATATTTAAATTGGAATCCGATCTTCTGCATTGGATCCAAAACAATTACAAATGTAATAGATTATTGAATAGTATAAGTAAATCAAACTAAAAATGATCAAAATTACATATTATTAATAAAATAAATTAAAAATGATCAAAATTACATATTATTAATAAAATAAACTAAAAATGACTTTCATATTTTATTTCATGAAAAATATGAAGTGAAAATCGGATTGGATTTTATTGGATCGGAAAAAGAATGGATACATATTAGATTCAATTGTAAACGGATGGAATTTGGGCCCCATTAATGGGATTGAATTAAATTTTGAATCCAGACAAATGGACACCGTTTGACACCCTAACACATACATACACCTAATAGTGCACCTTATTAGCCTTACCCTAGAAAAATGTAAAAACATATTTTGTTGTTGAAATCATTCTTTAGTTAGCAAGAATTTATTCAAAGCAAATGTTACGTGAATCAGTGTTAAAGGCAGAGGTGAGGCGGTTGGATCTAATAGGGGTGAGGCGTAAGCCTTTAAGGCATTTTAAAATGTAAGCCTGGAACAAAAAAAAAAAGAGAGAAATAATTCATAAATGATAAAAACATGAAAAATATAAATTAAATTAAGATATTATAAGGCTTGTTTGATATATTAGACATAGGTTTCATGGTCCAAAGTATCAATATAATTCAAATGTACATCTTTTTTTTTTTTTTCAAAATTTCACAGGAATGTTAATTATATGTTACTTAATACGTATTTTAGTACCCCACAGTTGTATTGATACTTTGAACCTTGCATGGGTTAGAATCTTGTCAGGGTGGTTTTTTCCCTAAAATCTAAACAATATAAGAACAAAATCATATGAGTCAAAACTTTTTCAATTCAAGGATATAAACCAATAGTGTTTTAAGAGCAAAGCGTTCTTGCTTCGTTTATTGCCCTTGTATGCATTAGTTAAAGTGACCATCTATGGCGATGCCTATGTTTTAGAAGAAATAGTAACAAGTATAGGGTAAATGGGCAAGTAGGTAAGAATAAAGCATGAATAATAAATCAAGCTATTTTTTTATGCAATTATATGCATTTTTTGTTATTTGTATGCTTATTTATTTGTTCAATACACTAATATATACAAAACAATGCATTATTTTTTGTTTGCCTTAAATTTCTGTTTTACCCCTATGTTCAACATTAGTGTGCCAAATAGTTGAAGCCCAGGCCTTGGATATTTTGAGGCCAAAGGTCCAAAGCCATAAGCCTCAAACAACTCAAGGCCTCGGCCTTGTTGGTGGGGTCTGAAACTAGTGTGGCCAGGCCTTTTTTTCTCAGTTTCGCCTTGAGGCTTAGGCCTTTGGCCTCACCTCAAAAGCCTTTCGAAACAATGGTTGACATCTTTAACATGAAAAACTCAAGTTGGCTCGGTCTAAATTGAGCTTGAGCCCAATAGATAGGCTTATTTGTTAATCGAGCCAAGCTCGAACTTAGTAAAACTCAGCTCATAAGGCTCACGAGCCTAATCGAGCTTTTATATACATATAAAATAAAAAATTGTATAATTTTTAATTTTTATAAAAGGTTGAATCACAGTTGAACACAAATTAATCCGAGCTTAAACTTACAAGCTTTTGACTTGAGCCGAAATTGATTTCAAGTCTTTAACTCAAATCAAACTCAAGCCTCATAGCTTATTGGCAAGCCGAACTCAAATATCCAGACATTCAATTCGGTCGCCTTGAATCCACCCCTATATATCTTCCATCAAAGTGGTGATGGAAGATATCAGTTTATCTGAATTCAAATTTCAATTTGATCCGTTAAGGGTGATATAAATTCAATTTGTTTATATTTGATCAAAAATGGATCCACCCTGATGTGATCCAATATAATCGAATTGGATTTAACCAAAGTGTATATGATTGTATACACTTGAAATTTATACTCTTATCTATTTTATAAAGTTGGTTTAATTGCATATTGTGTTCTAAGTAAAGCGTCACTGGTTGGAGTTTTCATAAAATTTACATTCAATATATTTTGTTTCATCTTCACTTTATTAATAACATAAAATATTTTGAACACTTTTAGTTTAATTTATTAATGCAATTTTTTATCAATTAATTTAATTTATTAATGCTATTCAATATTCAATCGCTTTATATCCTAGGGATAAGATCCCATTTGAATATAAATGAATCAAATTAGGATCTCCCTCATATCTGATTCGATCTGATCATTTGGCATTACTAATGCAGCATTTTTAAGTTATACCCGCTACACATACATCTACACAAAACCATTTATACCACTTTTTTAATTTTGATTCAAACGGATAATTCTGGTTCCTTTTAGTTTTTTCTTTTCTTTTTTCCCTTTTTTAAGAAGGGGTTCTGGGCCTTTCTTCTCAGTAAATTTACTAGTAGTAAAAACAAGGGCTCCAGGGGGAAATTGGATTAAAAAATGCGTGGAAGTTGATGGCTGCGGATAGGAGTGTCAATTGGAGTGGAATTGGTCAAATCTGATCCAGTCAGTCAACTATAAATGGACCAGGTCCAATTCAATCCAATATATATTTTGGACAATTTTGGACAAGTCCAATTTAATGTCTGGACTGTCCAATCTGTTTAAATTCATTTTGATTTAGATTGGTTTTAATCCAAACCCAATTCCATTGACACGTATATTTTTATCTTATATTAATGGACTAAAAAACTGGCTTAATCCAACCCAATGAACCGGGTCCAATCCAATTTAATAAATATTTTGGAATGGACTAATCCAACCCAATATGTCTTGTTGGTCCGTCCAATTCATCCAAATTGATTTTGGACTGAACAGGGTCCAATACAAAACTGGCCCATTGGCACCCTTAGCTGCAGAGAATTGGGTGCAGATTAAGAACTAATAATATTCATTTATTTTGTTAATGTAATTGCTTTATTGAATTCTTACTACTGCTTGTAGACAATTTTTGGTTAATATAGGAAATAAGAAATTAACTTTAAGGATTTCTGTTATTTTCAAAACCCATCACCTAGGCGACAAGGCATCCAAGTGCTCTTGATGTCTCGAAAACTTTGCACACACCATCTAATTTCTCAACTAGACCATGATGTGATTTTAACTCCTCACAGCACATATAATAACTGTTTTCACTTTTATGATACAAGGAAACCCGTCCAACTTTTGGATTATCTTCCTTTATGATGCCGAGATCTCCCTCACCACCATCAGTTGATGATCCACCACATGTACTTCCTCACACAAACTTTTCTCAATCCCATCAACATTATTGCAGTTCACCTCACAACCAACCTTACTGAGAAAAGAAAATTCAGAACTCCCCCTCAGAATTTCTAGTGAACCTTCAACCTTACTTCCGCTCCCCAACATTCTGCTCATCCTTCTTGCTCATGTTAACAAATCTTCATATTTAACTCTTTAACATTCTTGCTCATCCTTCTTTCTCTAGGATTCTCCATCAAATGAGAATTGAAGCAGTGTTTTCAATGTGGTGAAGCAATTATTGGCCGATGAAAAAGACAAAATGTTTTAAATTTAACCAAGATACTGATGATGGAATCCCATATAATAAGTTAAACAGATTACAACTACGCAGGCAAAGAGTGATAATTGAACATTTGATTTACGGTCTTTGTTCTGCAAACATAAAAAATTGGACCTATTTTATGATAGAGGATGCAGCCAAAGAAAGAGTGCAGCCTTGACTACTTGATGTCCACTTTGTTTGTGGCAACTCCATACCAACACATGGAGTAAAACTTATAGAGAATTCATTCACTACCATCAGAAAATCATGTTCCATGATTCCATCACAAAAGCAACCTAACAAAAGTTGGGATATCTGGTATCAATCAATAGTCCCTTTACTGATAGAGGAGTACTTTATCTAACCTAAGTTCTTTTGGTAGTATTTGCATCTCTAATTCTTCCTGTCTAGGTGCGTTTAGTGGTTGATCTCAAAGTTCAGGATCTGTAGAAGAGGCAGAATAATTGGTTGTTTACCAGAGCTCAAGTTGCATTGCAACATACACCTCGTGGGCTACTTATTTGCCTGGACTTCTCTTACTGTACTGAATGCACTTCAGTTAAATTTTCCACTTCCTTGATCCTGCCTGTTGCCACTTGTGAAGTTCAAGAACTTGTTAACTCGGTTATCTATAGTCTCTTTTTGATTTGTAAATAGGCAACATAATTTGCCAAAGCACCAACTAGCCCAAGCTGCTAAAACTTCTACTCATGATTAATTTCTTTTTGATTGTCAACCAGCTTGGCTTTCTAATGTACTGGACCTTGTAAATTTCCAGTTTTTATAATATAACCCTTTTGTTTATCAAACATAAAAAATCAAATGCACTATCAGAAGACAAAAACCATTATCCATAAGATGGTCGACATTACTTTTTCATTCGAATGAAATTTAAGAAAACGAGAAGCAGCAAAACTTCAAATGTTGTCCTTATACAAGTCTAAAATTAACCGTATACTACCTTTAATCTCAGATTCAAAACTAAAATAACAGTGGCAACCACCTCAAATGAAGCCAAAAACAGGTCCGCCAACTACAAATAACACTAACCTCATTTCCCGCTCAACCCATTCACGTTTAACACTTCAATATCTCCGTGCAGCCCCACCAGCAGCACCGCCCCTACCGAAAGCGGGAGGAGGGAGAGCCGGCTCAGCCTGCTTGACGACGCCGGGTAGGTCAGCCATTCCAAGGGCAGCAAGCATGTCCATCGTCTCCTTGTCGACCTCGATGACATCGGTCTTAATGGCGGACTCCTCAGGCACGAAGTCCATACGCCGCTCGCGCTCTTCTTCTTGGAGCTTCAAAGAGATTCCACGAACAGGGCCTCTCTGGATTCGCTTCATGAGGTGGGTACAGAATCCGGCGATCTTGTTGCGCAGGCGCTTCGAGGGAATGATGGCGACCTCCTCCAACATCTTCTTGTTGGTGTGGAAGTCCAAGGTCATCCGAGAGTAGTACCTCTCGATCACCTGCCGGGAGGATTTCTTCACGGTTTTGGTGCGAACGCGACCCATTGCAACCCTCGGTAGATTAGTCGCAGCAGCTTACCTGCAATCCGAAAAGATTAAGACAGGAAGAGCGGCCGCGGCTGCACTCTGCAGGAGTAAAAAGGTTTAGGGTTTTGCTCGTATCTAGTGTTTCTACAGGGAGGCGGGAGAGAGATATCATCCATAGTTCATACAATTTATAAATTTCCAAAAATAAAAAAACACGATTCTTAAATTTCCATATATGCCCATGATTTTTAGGGTTGAACACGGATTGAATCGAAGCGGACGTAGGTAGATCCAAATTTGATTCGTTTAATTTTAATCCAAATCCGATCCGATCTTAACGTAAACGATCGGATATTCAAAAAACATTTACTATTTTTTTTTAAACACAATCAACTTGATTTTAAATTTTTAAAATAAAAACACAGTTCGATCATCGACGTGGTAATTTCAAAAACAAATGAAAATAAGAACATTCATATTATAAACACCTCACTAAACCATAATATTGAAACCATTTTTTACTAGTCTATACAGACCGGACATAAAACTGTTTTGGGGATCAGCTCCAGAGTTGAGTGGTCCAACCGTTCAGATCGAACAGATGGTCCATTCTAACTTAAAAATAAATAAATAAATATATATATATGTATATATTTATATTTATATATAAACAATCAAAAACCATTGTTCAGTTATATCAGCTCAATTATCAGTTATACCAGTTCCAAATGATTATTGGTTTCTGTTTATCTGAATTCAAATTCGAGTTATTTATAATTAGATTGGATATGGGTCCAGCCCTATTTGATTCAACTACGTTTAAATAATGTTTATAGGAAACATAAATAATTAATAACATTATGAACAAGAGGAAGTTGATATAAATTGCATACTATGTTAATATAGTGTTGAAAAATTAATAAATTGAACAATGTTCAAAATGGTTACAGATAGTTTGTTTTTTGATAGTGTTCTTTGTGAATATTATCTTGTCTTCTACCTTCTAAAAAAAAAAAAAAAAAAAACTTCAAGAGGGGCCCTTTAATATATTTATAAAAACTCTAATTTATATAATTATAGGAACATTAACTTCATTTTTTCAGTTATCTTAAATTCTTAATTCTAAAAAATAATACCCAAGACCCCAACTAACATTCCATGTATAGTCATGACTCACAAACTTCAAATAATTTTATAGGTGGAATAGCAAATCATTTTAGCCAATTCAATTAACGTCATTATTCAAATTACTATATATTTGCAGCCGAATGCCACACGCCCTGAAAAACTGCACTAGGTATTTGTAAAATGCTAACGAACAAAAGAGGAAGTAGCGTTTCTTAAAAACCAATATAGATTAAACATTTCCCCCCAAGAGTCACAGGTGAATAATTCAAACATCCATACACATGGTCAAGACACCTTGCATTGCATATATCATAAAAAATAAAAAACCGAAAAAAAAGACACAAAACCTAACCATTACTACTACTATGGCCTCCAAAAACTTTTTTACAGTTGCCCAGGTCGGGTTGACGATTCAATCACTTGGGTCAAATGGTTTTTGATTTCCAACCAACTCAGATTTGGAAGAGTTAATTTGGGCAAGAGATACAGAGTTTATTTGGAATTTATTAGGACTGGAATTCATGCCAGGTGCCGGTTAAACCGCCCAGATAAATAACAGTTTGAAAACACTGCTTCAAAGTCGATGTGATTGATAAGGCTTTATTTTTTATTTTCCTTTTTATCTATATAATTCATGAGAAAGATCACAGTTAGCCAACCAATCTTTTACAATGTAATAGAGTAATGATACCTCCATTTCTCATACTTTGATGATAATGGCCATTATGCTGATGAGGATGGAAATCAGTGTATGCACACCACTCCTCGCTTGAACAGACGTTGTTTCCTTTTATTTACAACATTTCTTTTGTCTCCTCTCCATTAGATATTTGGATTTGGTTGGTTGGTGACAATTTTAATTATTTTGCTATTAGAGCTTGGAACTTGGATAACATGATAGCAATTGTTGAACATCCTCTCCATTTAGGCTTTTTTTATCAGTATCCATTTAGGCATTTACTATACCAGAATTTGATTAGATACATGTCCAAATGCTTTATTGCTTACAACTATTAAAACAAAAAATGCTTTATTGCCTACCGCGTTAAAACAACCTATGCTAAAAAAAAAAAAACATATTTCATATCACAGATCCTAACTGGGTCAGATGGACTTCATGACTAAGGAATCTGTTGCCTGAACCGTGTTAGCAATCACAACAAGAATAACTTATCAAAGAAAATATATGATATTCTTAATGAAATAAATCATAATAAAACCCCTATTTATCATGTCGTCGATTTTCAAGTGCCAAAGTTGAATATTGGGTTGATAAAGTAAATAAAACTGAAAACAACTGGTTAGTATACTGATGTAATACAGTCATATGATAAACTGTCTAAAGGTCTTCCATCATTAGCATGAATATGAGTCCTTCGCACCATAAAATTGGGCTATTCATTTGCTGTTGCAGGTGTTCCAAAGTTTGCACACATGGATCATTTTCTCCTAGAAAATGAGTACATGAGTAAAGATTTGGTTTTAGGAAAAATGTGGCTTGAAAGAGGAATCGATGGCTAAGAATCTTGTTATATAGATCAATAAAAAAGTATGGGCAAACATTTTGTTGATCTTTATTAGAATCTCGAAATGGCTTAAAATGTCAAACTTCCTATTCAAACACTTCATTAACAAAATGCTAAATATAGGTTGTCGGGTGCAACTTGAGATGTTATTAAACCATTCTTTCAATAGGATTTCTGTTAATTGTCCAATTTAGGTCCTGCAGTTGCTGGATTTTCTTCCTTTATGATGCCAGAATCTCCTTGACTCCTTCACAATCAGTTAAGGATCCACCTCATAAACTCCCTCCCCTGAACCTTGTTCAATCCCATCAACAGTATTTCCTTCCCCTCGCAACCAACCTTGAAACCAAACAATGGTATCACCATCGCCCAAAATGTCAAGTGAACCATCAACCTCTGATTTTTCCACATTCACCACCTCAACAGTCCCCTCATTCTTCTCAATAATGTATCCCAACAAATCTTGGTGCTTACCTCTTTAATCAGCTTCTACAGCCACAATGGTCTTTGTGATGCTAATCAGCAAGGATGACTTCTCTATTCGATGAATTGAGACAGTGTAATCAATGTGGTGAGGTAATGACTAGTTGTTTTGGCTTCCCTAGTCAATGTGATGACTGTTTGGTGCTTCAGATGCTGATTGCTGACTAATGGATAAAAGCACATATTTTCTAAACTTAAGATGTTGATGATGCAATCTCATAAATAAGTTGATATAAATTACTACTATGAAAGAAAATAATGATATTAACATTTAGTTTACAGTTTTAGTTTTGCAAACATAAAAAAGTTAAAGCTCTTCATATAATAGGGACCTATAGTCTTTGCTTTTCAAAGAATTCCTCCATATCCTCTTTGTGTGTGGCAACTCCACACCAAAATACCACCACTCGGAGAAAAGTATAAAAGAATTCCTCCATCGCCTTCTTTTGTTTTATGCTTTTTTCTATTATATATATAATTAGCCAAATCATGTTCCCTCACAAATATTACAAGCAACAGCATGAATATAACGAAACACAAATATATTTTATGTTTTTAAAAAAAAATTTGAGACACCAGTGTTTTAAAAAGCACAAGGCCTTCTAGAACCCAAGGTGCAAAGTGTGCCATGCCTTTTCGAAGCAAAGTGCATGTCAAAAAAAATTCAAAAAAGGAAGAATAGATAAAAATACACATTTGAATTCTTAAAGAAATTAAATGTTTTAAAAAGCTTATGGGCTCAAATTCAAAAAAACATAAGCATAACATAAAACATGTTCAAAGTAAAAATTGTGGAAGTGAAAGCAAGCATATGTGGATCATACCAAATCGCTTCAGGCATTCAAAAATTCAAGTAGATAGTGTGAATGTGTGATGTTAAATATTTTGCATTCCTAATCCTAGGAAATCCCTCCGCCTCTATAAAGGCTCCTTAAGGCATGTCCAAACAAGTCTGCAGGATTATGGGCAATGCCTGCAACCTAAACTTTTGGCCATATATAAACAAGTTAGTTTTGTGATTTTAGTCATAGTTCATTCTATTTTACAATTAGGTATCCTATATTGGTTGTTGCTTCTAATTTTACAATTATGCATATTCACTTTTCTTAATATAAAAGATTTCTATTAAAAATAAAGAAAAAACAGATCCCCTTTCCTCTTCTTCCTCCTCCCCCTCCTCCCTCTTCTTTCTCCTCATTCCCCTCCTCTTAACGAGGCGTAAGCCTCCTTGTGTTCAGGAGGCTTATGCCTCATACATTCTGAACTACACCTCATGCCTCCAGGTAGTGGAACGCCTCGCATCATGCCTCCACATTCTAAAACATTGAATTTATGTCCTCCACAACTAATACTTTAGTTGCCATAGTAATCTTTCCTCTGCAGAACTTTACAAAATCAATCCGCTCACCTTTGGATTGAGATAATGGAGTATGATGCAAATCCTCCATCCGTAATTAAAGATCCTTCACTAACTACAACATACATCCAACCCTATAGGTTATGTAAAAATCTAGTTTTTACCCAGATACACTTGTCTATACTTGATAAATTACAACTTTCCACCTGGTCTTTGTCAAGGACTAACATATGATCAACAATAACTTCATCCCTATGTGCCACCAATCTCATATAATGACCTAACAAATGAGTTCCAAAATTACCTCTAAACCTTCCTTTAAAATCTATGAACCTATAAAGTTTCCCCAACAGCCTTTTCTGTCCTCTGCCATCTGGCCTACCCATTCTCAACAAACGCCTATCATTTTTCTGAAAAAATTCTAGTCCCCCTTCCAATAAAACAACTCACATTACAATCCCTTTTAAATGTGGTGCCACTCCCCCATAATTCAAAAAGTGGAAACCTATTACTGAATTTACTATTCTTAGAACTTTCCTGAACTATTCCCTTCTCCATGAAATCTTTCTCTACCATGCCTCTGAAACTTTCTTTGAAACAGAAATTACCAAATCTATTCCCTCTAAATCATGTGCCATTTTCTTCAAACTTCCACCCTGACTCATTGCCTTCTGCCTACAAGGCTACAATAGAATTGACCTGACACCCATTATAGCAAAGATGATCCCATGACCATAAGGTGATAACCTACAAATGAGAAACCGATTATGGTCCCAAGCAAAAAGATGTGTAAAGAGACAAAGCAGGTTAATTAACAACAGATTTAATTCAGTGAAATGGACCGCATGGATAAACAATGATTCTAATAAGTATGCATGGAGCAATTCCTTTAAATGAACAAAATCACATGTAGTCATAAACTAGAATATGGAACTTGAGGATGCATTAACTTCACATCATATTTATTTATGAGGTGTGCTAAATCTAGAAGGTAACAATCTGTTTCTTAAAACAATCGCAGAAAATGCATCGGAATTTGTAATTGAGTATATATCAATTGATCCTGATGCACATCCCAGAAATTTTGGAAAACATTCCATGGTCGATATTGACTCATTAATGTGATAAAACCCTAAATGTTATCCAACAATAAACAATTGGATATCAAATTAGAATACAAATACAATACTTAATCTTCATAACAATCAGAAAAATCACAACAAAATTTGACCCAGGAAGAAATTCATTTCTCACAAAAATAATCCAAACAGAAGCTGACATATCATATTATTAGTATCGATCAAATACACCAGCAAAAAATGGAATCCATTATCCATAATATAGAAGACATTATTTTTTAAATTAAAATGAAATTTAAGAAAATTATAAGCAGCAAAATTTCAAATGTCGTCTTTCTACAAGTCCAAAATTAAATATATATACTACCTTTAATGTAAGAAGTAAAACTAGAATGACAAACTACAATAACAGTATCACCAGCCTCAAATGGAGCCTAAAATATGTGCGAGGACTACAGTTAACACCAACCTTACTTCCCGACCAACCCATTCACACCTAACACTTCAGTATCTCCGTGCAGCACCGCCCCTACCGAAAGCGGGAGGAGGGAGAGCAGTTTCGGCCTGCTTGACAACGCCGGGTAGGTCAGCCATTCCAAGGGCAGCAAGCATGTCGATCGTCTCCTTGTCGACCTCGATGACATCGGTCTTAATGGCAGATTCCTCAGGCACGAAGTCCATACGCCGCTCGCGCTCTTCTTCCTGGAGCTTCAAAGAGATTCCACGAACAGGGCCTCTCTGGATTCGCTTCATGAGGTGGGTACAGAATCCGGCGATCTTGTTGCGCAGGCGCTTCGAAGGAATGATGGCGACCTCCTCCAACATCTTCTTGTTGGTGTGGAAGTCCAAGGTCATCCGAGAGTAGTACCTCTCGATCACCTGCCGAGAGGACTTCTTCACGGTCTTGGTGCGAACGCGGCCCATGGCAGCCCTCGATAGATTAGTCGCAGAGGTTTCCCTGCAATTGTTAAGATTAGGAGGGAACGGGCGGCCGCGGTTGCAGAAGGAGAAAGGTTTTAGGGTTTTGCTTGTATGTACTTATAGTTATCTGAAGGAGGGGACATGCTCATACCTTTTTCTTAAATTCCAATTTTGCCCATAATGTAATTTAGGGATCTGGTTTTATGCTTTCAATGGGTCGGGTCTACACGATAGAACCGAGATCGAATGTGGTTAGGTGGTTTCGGCGACTTTTGTCCCAATTAATAATTGGGTCGGTTCTGGTTGGTTATTGCTACTCTAACCCATTTATATATATATATATATATATATATATATATATATATATATATATATATATATATATTTAAAAAGATAAATTAAAGTATATATTTTATCAATATATAAAAAGTTTGTTTTTAAGGCTAACATATAAAAAGTTTAGTATTAGTATTTCAATGTAAGTTTTATTAAGGTTATATTATTAAAATGAAGAAGTCCTAAATCATTATTATCAATTTATCATTGATAATTAAAAAGATGTTAAGTTTAATTGGGTCATTTCCATTCTAATTGTTTATTTAGGATACGAAAAGTGAAATTATCCAATTTCTATTCTTGCTCGAATGGCATTCTTGGTTTGGGGGAATGAAATTTCATTTCAATTTATTCTAATTCCAACTTTTCAATGGAATTTGGCTTCTCAAACCCCAATGAGATTGGAAATGGAGATTGCCTTGGTGAGGTGGGGATAGGGATAGGGAGTGAAATCCACCTTGACTTTTATATTATACATACACACACATATATCATAGTTAACATAGAAATTGAAAAATAACAAAGATAATAATATGGTTAAGAATAAACTTAAATACTTGCAATAAATGTCCACATGTAAATTTTAAATTATTTTAAATTACAATAATAATAATAATTATTCCTGGATGGCAAAGGAAGGATTAGCAGCGGCGATGGGGTCTTCAGGTTGGGATGTGACATCGGCTCTGGCTCCGCAAGTATTGTAGGGGAGGCGGCTCCGGCTTTGATTCTTCAAGTGCTACAGGAGGAGAGTCTCCGGCTCTGTCAACTCCCAAAAAAGTCCTTCCGTCCTTTCATTTCAGAGAGTTGGGAGAGAGAAAGAATGAGAGGACGGTGAAGGAGGGGAAAAGAAGAGAAAAAAGGGAAAACAATAGGTTAAATAGGTTTTAAGAGAAAAAGGGCAAAAAAAAAAAGAAAATAGAAAAAGCTTAATAGAATATTTTGATAATTTAGAGCATTCCATCATCTAACTTAACGGTCAAGGGGGATCGTTGTCTCATGGTCATAGTACAAGGGGTCTTTGTAGCAAAACAAAATATAGGGGATCTTTGTCATAAAGAAGAAATCTTTATAATTTACCCTAAAAAAAACTCTTGAGTTATAAGCCAAAATGTTGGGGAGTTTTTTTACATCCTTCATTATTACCTATTTTATTCACATTTGTTTTTTTAGTTTTATTTGGGCCAAAAAAAAAAAGGTTGCAAATTAATCTTGTTCTTAGTGATTGAGATTGGATTTTTGATATGGCATTATATACGTATTATTAGAGTGATTTAGTGGTTATTCTAATTTTCCTTTTATTTTGAAGAAACCACTATCTGAAATAAAGTGGTGTTTGGTTATTTTTGGACTGTTTTTGGAATAGCCTTTAAAATTGATAAGTTTCTTTTGAATGTTTTGATTGATTATGCCATTAATTACTTACTATTTAATGTCCTGTATTTATCTCTTACAGAAAAGGCAAGAGTATTTTGTCTCCTTTTGACTTTCTAAAGTAATATCTAAAACTTTGGTTACTCAAACGATTGGGAGTGTTTAGTCTTTCCATTTATTTTTTTTATCCTTCCTAATTATTCTCCTCAAACCAATTTGTCTTTTATTACCCATTTGATTTGATTCACGTTGGAAAACATAATTTCCTTTATATCATTAAAATATATTGCATATGAATCCTACCGTTTAGTCATTGGATTGTTCATAAGCAACAAATAGTCATTTATAAAAGTGATGATTTGGTGAATTATTTAAATTTTTCTTATTTTGGGAAATTATTCTTCCAATTATAGTGGCATGTTTTATAAACTTTTATGATCATTATATCCACTTCAAAATTTTGGGTTGTTAAATTCCTATTATTAAATCTACCCTTTTGTGTTATTTAGTTTTGTTCAATCAAATTGTTGGCTAAAAAAATTGCACGAATTAATATCATTTTGAAGTTCAAAAAAAAAAAATGATACTACTTGATTATATTTTTAAATGAGAAAATTTTGGATTTGCATCTCTTTTTTCATTGAACCACTGCATTAGTATTTGATTCACATTGGAGTGATTAAACTTCTTTCTCATAATATTCCTTGATTTTTGTGGTCAAATTTTGTTAAAAAGATGGAGCTATCTCATAGCTATTTGTTAGAGTGATTTATTGGGCCATTTGATATATATTTTTAATCTCTTTGTTTTCTAGTTGATTACTCTCCCAAAAACTCTTGTGGCCATTTTCCATTTTGAAACTTTAAATTGTTTTCGCAATATCTTCTTCTAAGATTATTGCACTTAAATGATTCAATTGTTGGATAGTTAACCACTAATCCACTGTTTACTCTCCAATTTAATTTCCTAGAAAAGATCATTAGATTTTTTGGACTTCCCTATTTATGCTAGAATTTGTCACTAATAGGAGACTGGCATATCTTTTGCCTACCTTTATCTCTTCAAGGTAGCATCTTATCCTATTAAATCTCATTTGAATTTCAAGAGCAACAATTAGCATATCAAATAAACTTTTAAATAAATTAAGTTTTGGACACCATGTACTAGAGGTCCAATGACTCCTTGTCTCTCTTATTGCTTCTTGAAATAATAGATGCACTCTCTTGGATGATGGGTTTTGAGAATTGTATATAGATTACTGCACTAAATTGCTAGAAAATTATATATCTTTGTAAAATTGTTTTGATTACTACATAATATTTAAACAATTATTATGTGATTCTTAATTCTCTTATAATTGCAATCCAGTTTTTGAATTGTTGAAACATTTATTATTTAGTCCTCTCTAGAATATCACACTTCGATCCCTAACTTATACATATACTCCCTTAAAATTGTAAAATTAGGAATAGAAAATATACCCCTAAAGTTTAAAATAATAAAAACTAGTAGAGAAATTACTATCTTTTTATTAATTAAGGAAGAATAAGGATAGTATGAGTGAAATAGTATTAAAATACACATTAAAAGGAGTAGGAACGGGAAGCGTGGGAGGATCATTAGCTGTAGTTAGTGAATTAAGTAAAATTGATAAAGTAAATGGAACTAATTTTCATATGTGAAATAGGAGAATTAGGAGAATTTTGGAAAGAGAACATGTAGATTACATATTAGACAAGAAAATTCTTTCACCTCCAAAAGATGAGACATCTCCAAAGACAAATAAAGAATATGAAAAGTTTGTGAAAGATAATCGAAAAGCAATATTAGCCATGTTAACTTTTATGGAACCCGATATAGAATTAATGTTTGAGGAACGTGAAAATGCAAAAGCAGTGTTTGAAGCTATAAATGATACATATGGTAAAGTGATTCAAACCAATGTAGAACTTTTAATAAAAGTATTATGCATGTAAGAAAATACATGCATAACCTCCTTACTCTATTGGCCTTAGAAGTTGAGAGGAAAAAAAAAATAGAAAATATCACAAGCAATGATGGCAACAACAAATAATAATAAGGCTGAAAATGAAAAAGGAAGATATCCCTCAACAAAATAAAAAAATTCAAAGAAAATACAAGGGAAAGAATAAATGGAACAAGAATCCAAACAAAAATTTCAAAAAAAGAAAAAAATGAGGCTTACTAAATACAATTGTAAGGAGCTAAAAAAGGAAGAAAATAAAGGAGGAAATGAAACAAAGGATATCATATGTTAAATCAATCTTTAGTAGGAAATATTTTTAGGGAAAGTCATAAGTATTGAAATTTACGTAATAAACATAATAGCCACTAGAACCTTATGAAATATGTAATGGTAGGAAGCAAGACCTACCACATATAAAACATAGGGTTCAAAATGTTTATATGTTAGACTCTATTTGTAAAAAAAGGGGGGTAACTAATTAAAGGTTAAGGTGTACCTAGAAGATTCTAAGGGCTATACATGGTATAGAGGTGATTAAAAATGCAAATTCTAGAGGACAAAAAAATGTTTAATGCGTAAACTTAGATAAGCATTGTATGTGATGTAACCGTTTCTGGTCACGTACCAATTTTTGTGATGTATCAATTTTTTTTGGCTAAGTATCTCGTCATTTGACCTGCTTCCAGGTGGTTTGTGATTCAGAGGATGATGGAGCTCCCTAGTGGCAAACTGCCTGGTGATGAGCTACTTGGTGTTGGTGGCAAACTCCCTGGTGGTGAGCTACTTGGTGACAAGCTCCCTGGTGGAGAACTACTTGATGACGAGCTCCCTGGTGGAGAACTACTTGGTGACGAGCTCCCTAGTGGAAAACTGCCTGGTGACGAGCTCCCTGGTGGAGAGCTATTTGGTGACGAGCTCCCTGGTGGGGAACTGCCTGGTGACGAGCTCCCTGGTGGAGAATTGTCTGGCTGCCCTCTGCATGGGGTGATCTCCTCTCCTTTGTAGGCGGCGGGAGCTGAGGGACCTGCAAGAACTCCATCATTTCCTCCTCTTTGTAGGCAGCGGGAGTTGAGGAACCTGCAAGAACTGAATCAGAGCACCCGGGGGTGTTACCCGGTGGGGATTCTCTGATGCCTAAGTTAGCATTCTAATTGCAGAGAGCTAGAGAGTAGGGATTACCTCCATTTTTCCATTCCCTCCCCATCTTGGCTTTGGGGGTTAGAGTCCTTATATAGTGGTGCCCAGTCACATCAGGCGTAACTGCCACTGCCCAAGCCATTATTGCCAGGACTGAGGTGACAGGTGTAGGTTGCTGTTGCAGGGTACAGACTCGTCAGGTGTGCCATGCTTTTCAGAGACGGCAGGCACGACGCCGCCTGGAAAGAGATGTGGGCGCTGCCACCAGATCTGTCAGGTACGATTGTCAGGCAGGAGATCTTCCTGCGATACGCCAAACTACTCTTCTGTACCAAGCTACCCTACAAGTGGCGAGCTGTCCAAGGGAGCTATGCCGAGCTCCTTGGGCTATGTCGAGCTGCTTGTGGCGAGCTCTGCCGAGCTGCCTGGCTCCTTGGTGGAGAGCTCCTTGGAGAGCTGCCTAGCTCCATGGCGAGCTCTTTGGTGAGCTACCGAGCTCCTTGGTGAGCTACCGAGCTTGTGGGGTATGCATGCCGTTATCGGTGGGCGTCTTATGGGTTGCCAGGTCGGCCAGGTCGGGTCGGTCGGATCATGTGTCGGGCTGATCTAGGTCGGCTAGGTCGGCCATGTCGGATCATGTGCCAGTCTTATCCAGGTCGGCTAGGTCGCGCAGGCCGCGTGTAGGCTGCGCGCCAGGCACCACGCAAGCCACGTGCAGGCCGGCCAAGCCGGCCAGGCCAGTGCCCGGGTGGGACACCAACTTGGTAAGTTGTTGCCTAGGTGTCGCCTAGTTGTCACGATGTGCCACGTGTCGCAATTTCACTGGAGGGCCAAATCTACCCTCATCAGTATGAATTAAACTGAGCCTTTGGGAAGTGATCTTACACTTTCTATAATATGGATATGAAGATTTATACTAATATATTAAGAATAGTGGTAGTTCTCACATGATTTTATAAATATATACTAAAAATAGTGGGAGTTCTTACATAATAAAAATTGAAGTGTGATTAACTTCTAGATTTGAAAGAAAATATATTATATGTAATGCCAATTTCTTTTACTACGCATTGTAGGAAAGGGAATAACCCTCTCTTTGAAAATAATCCTACTTGAATAAAATTATTTTGATTGGAAATATGTAATCTAGTAAGAATTCCATATGAGAAGGAAATGCAATTATGCAACTCCCAAAGATGAAAAATAAATTAAAAATTGAAAATAAATACATATGCTCAAATGCATTATATATTGAAGCAAAGACAAAAATTCATATATATATATACACCAAAGTAACTTTGGAAATTGCATTGGAAGATGATTAAAGGAAAACTAAGAATTATTCAAACAGCAAAAATAATAATTATTTTAAATTAACCTACCAATGCAATGATTTAAAATTGATGGAATATTGTGATGCAAGTCTTTTGTAAGAGACAACCTACTTTTAATGTCAAAAGACGCATTAAGCTTTTGCATGAAGATCTAAGCAGTCCGAAGCACGTTTGGCAGACACACGTCTTTCTGTGCATCTTTTCGTGCAAGAATATAACACAGAAGACGTGTAAAGCTTCATTTGGAGTTTCCCGAAATCAGCCCAAAATCGGCCGGCTTTTGGCAACTAATTCTTCCATGAGCCAAACGGAAATAGACCAAAGATCAGTCTGCCCGACTTGTAAATAACTGAAAGACCGCACAGAAAGACATGCCAAACGGGCCTTATATTTTTCTCTTAGGAGGAGTAGTCTCCTAGAAATGAAGTATGTGCAACAAAATACACAATGAAAATGAAGTTTATTGCATGCAATAAAACTACAATCGAATCAATATAGATCCATACAATTATTGAAAATCTCAAGTTGAAAGGCGCACCTACAAGATTAGTCATGAACAAAATTGTTGATCAAGCTTCAATTCAGATCATCATTCATAAAAAATGTAGAGATTAAGCTGACTAGAAAAATATGCTACTACAACATCATTATGTTCTTGATACACATCAAAAATATGAATTAAATATATGCCGACATGTGAAATAATTGCCAAACCATTGATCAAGCGCAATTTAATTGGTGGAAAATTTTAATTGACATATGAGGTTAACAGGACTATTGTACAACTAGTACATCTTGGGCTATTACGGCTAAGTGGGAGATGCTAGATCGAATGGCCTATGGTCCTCGATGTTATATCCTCAACATATAGGACTATCTATAGACCAACAAGAATAATCACATGATCAATGGAGTATTTGTTCTATGTGGGTCAACATGCACATACAATCAATACATCTTTTCAATTGTTATTATTATTATTATTTATTATTTTTCTATAAAATAAAATATGTTTTGACTTATTATTATCATTAGAGTAGTTATTAGTGGACAAGTGTCTCATCCAAGTAGAAGTTAATAGAGATTTATGAGTAATTACTATCCATTACAACAAACCCAACATTCATTCATAAAAGGGTTTATAAATAAAATCCAGAATATTGAGGAATATAATAGAACTATTAAGATAAAACATTGCCACATGAAGAAGTTAAGGCTCGATGTCCAAATTTGCCAAGAAATCCTGAATGACTGATTGGTCATTCAGGTGTAATTTGGTCAAATGTTCTATTCATCTAACAATATATATATATATATATATATATATATATTCACTGAAAGGGCTCTCTTGAGGTTTTGAAAAAGTAGTTAAAATAAATTTAAGAGAAATGTGACAAAGTTATGTTGAGTTTTAAATAATATATCCTTATTATTTTATTATATAAAATAATTGGTGGGAAGAAACGTCGGCTGCTTCACGTGATATACAGACTTTTTTTTTTTTTATTCTTTTTTGTGTTTTTGGCAAGTGGTCATTTATAGTTAGGACTTAAGACCGACAGCTCTCTGATTTTTATAATGTAGTGAGTGACAGTGGTCATTTATGATGAAGATGAATTATTGGTAGTTGGTTCTGATGAGAGTAGAGATGAAGTCAGGAGCTCTGGATACCACGTATAGCTTGTTTATTTGCTGCAACGTGGTGTGTGAATTCTGATGATAACCTCAATGCCTGCCCTGGAGAGTCCCATCGGCGTTAGCTTTGGCCAATTCATGAACTCAACCCCTCCATCTATTCAGCCTTGTTGCAGTCGGCATATGCTCTGTAATTAATGCCGGTAAACTTGGCCGGCCTTGTATAAGTAATTCCTTAGGCTAAGTTTGGGAATATTCTTACTCTTTCCAATCTGATCCTTGGTGTCGGCCCAGTAGGTTTTGGATGTTAGGCACCACTGAAGGCCTGAAGGATTGGTTAAATAAAAAATGCGACTGTTCCTTTTTTTCTCATACACTCTACAGTGTGATGAAACACTACTTGTCGGATAACATTAATATTTTATCCATTATTGTACAAAAAATTCAAATGGTAAAATAAAAACATAGCAATAAATAAATAAAATATGCAATGATTTATATGGTTCAGCATATAGTCTATGTCAATCATGGGCGATAGAGGAACAAAGGCCATGCTTGGGAGTGCTTAGAATTAAGTGCTTACAACATGAATAAGTACTTGTTTTTAATATAAGAACTCTCAAACATGGTCAAAAGTCCATTATAGAAAACAGTATATATTAAAACACAACAGTCTAGATTTTTTTTTTCTATTTTTTTGAATTTTTTATTTTTATTCTATGTCATTTGTTAAACAACTAATGAGAGATGTTCTCCTTCCCCATATTATCTAAAATTTCTCTTTCTCTCTCTTTCTCTCCACACACACACACCTTCCCAATAACTTAAATAATATCATTTTCTAAAATTACTCCTAAACTACCTTCCCCACTTTCTCCTAAATTATCTCTAATTCCTATTTATCCGCTCCCCCACTTCTTATCTATATCTATTTAAAGAAAGTTTAATTTAAATTAAAAAATTATTTAAATAAGCTAACATAATTATATAATAACTTTAAAATATTTATTAAAAACACAAAAATAATTATAATAAATTTAATAATATTCATATTATTAATAATTTTATACTTTTACAAAATTCATCACAAAATTATGTACTAACAATATGAATTATGATCTTTTGAATTTTTCAATTTAAATGTTATTCAAATAATAAAAATTTAACAATAAAAAAATTATTTTAATAACTAAATATCCTAAATAACAAAACATTATAAATAGTTAAATAATTATATAACAAAATATTTAATATTATTTTATAACTAAATAAATAAAATTCAAATAACAAAAAAACTTAATATTTTATATATTATTTAAATATTTAAATAATTAAATAACTAAATAGTAAAATTTCTCACTTGGGGGAATTGTCAATACTTTGATAGGACAAATAACTCACAAAAGCCAAAGCCAACTGGGCCTTAGTGTAGTAGCTAGCATTTAACAACCTAACATTCAAAGAACAATCAAGATAGAGAGAAAAGGAAAGAAATACTGATACATCAAGCAAAAGATTGAGCGATGGCAGAAGAGAAAGATGGATTGGTGGTGCTATAACCCCCATCAACAATAAGGTTGAGCCCATTGACATAACGAGCTTCATCGCTGGCCAAGTACAGTGCCGCCTCGGCCATGTCCTCAGCTGTAACCTTGACACCCTTGAGGACAGTCGAGCGAGACACCAACTCCTCCACCTTCTCCTCTTCTGTGAACCCCAGTTCAGCCATCACCTTGCGTAGCATTCCCGTGACCACTCCATAGGGAGAGATGCAATTAACTCTTATCCCATATCGTCCCAGCTCCACGCACAGATTCTTCGTCAAGCCCACCACAGCGTGCTTGGTGGCTGAATAAGCGTGTGGAGTCTCACCATTGACGACCGATGCCACACTGGAAGTGAAGAGAATGCTTCCTCTCTTCAAGGGAACCATCACCCTTGCAGCATGTTTGGCACCCAAGAACGCACCGTAGAGATTAACATCCACTACCCTCTTGAAGTCTTCGTTGTCTGTGCTTAAGATTTCCTTGCTGCTCTTCCCAGGGATGGCTGCATTATTGAACATGATATCAAGCTTTCCATACTTGGAGACTGACATGTCCACGGCATCTCTGACATGAGCGTCTCTGCTGACATCGCAGTGAGCATAGCAGATGGTCTCCTCCGAACCAATGTCGTTACAGACAGCTCGGCCCAGCTCATCCTGTACGTCGGCAACCACAACCTTAGCGCCATGACGAACGAATAACCTTGCAGTGCTCTCGCCGATTCCTGCTGCACCGCCGGTAATCAGTGCCACCTTTCCTTTTAATCTGCAAAAAGTACGACCAAATGGATCTGGGATAACTGCTTCATCGATCGAACTAATTAAAAAAAAAAAATGCATGTTTGAGAGTGAATAATTTTTTTTTTTTTTATCAGAGCTTCAATATACCTCTTGGTTATGGGAGCTAGCAAGGAAGCAGCCTTCATTCTATCTTGACCTGTCGTTTGCAATGGCCGGTCAGAATGCTCAACCGATTAACATACTAGAGATGGAATTGTTTTGAGTTTTTATAAATGACTTTTTATTTATATTAATTGACGGGAACTGTGCAGGAAAAAAATATGATGGGACCTGGGAAGCATCGATCGTTTCACGTGGTGTGCCGACTGAGTTGTTGGATTTCTGATTTATTATTTAGTAATCATTTTCAGCTTGGAATTTCGATAAGTCTAAGAGATGATGAAGATGAATTATTGCTAGATGGCCGGGGATTGGATCGGTTGAACGTTTAAATCGTCACTTCTGAAATTTACAGTTTGGTAAAAATGCTTGATGGTTGAACCATTGACCCATCATGGGGTCATCGCCTCATCGCCTTATGGGTGGCACATTAAATGTATGTACAAAGTTGTGGAGGTCATAATTTTGAATAGGGATATTTAAGTAGGATGATCTCTTTCTTTCTTTCTTTCTTTTTTTTTAATTTTATTTTAGAATCATTCAGTTGGTCAGAAAGATGAAAGAAAATGAATATAGAGGAGAGAAAGAATAGAAGATGAAGGGTAAAATTGGGATTATGAAAAGATTTAAAGGGCATGTGAAATGTCCATCGATGTTATCTTAATGGATGGCCTATTTTATTTTCTAGGTAGGGTGATTTAATAAGAATCACCCCGTTTAAGCATAAGGAAATAGTAATGTTAAATTTATATTATAGAATCAATAATGTTAAACTTATATTTATTAATATTTTAAATAATTATTAAAATTTTAAGAAATGTTTATTTTTAAAAATAGCTTTTCAATAATTATTAGAATATGGATTGAAAGTAGTTATGAATAACCACTTTTGTATTTTCTACATTTTTTTAGGAAGTGATTAATTAAAAATAGTGGTAGTGGGTTGTAAGATTTAGCAGAACTTCTTAAAAAATGACACATGTCTAACTTTCTAAAAAAATGAAAAAACCATTTGTTAGTGGGAGTTATATATATATATATATAATCCCATTTTATATTAATCATATTAAAGAAAAACAAGTATGATAAAGAAATTTTTTTTATTGATGATGCAAATAAAATATAAAATTTAAATCTGATTAAACTGGAGTTGTTTGTTTGGGTTAAACGTGTCAATGCTTTTTATGTCAAAATTGAATATTAAAAGTTTTGGGTACATTTCTTAGATCATATTAACTAAAACAAAGTATAATAAATGAGAATTATTTTTATATACACGTAAATTTAATAAATTGTAGAAAATTTTAAAATTACAATAGCATCATCATCATTATCTAAAACTAACTGTCACGTACACATTTGTTGTTTGAAATTTTGGCTTTAATATTGTCAAGCAATGGACATGCGTATGGGCAGGTTGGCTCAGGCTTTGGCTCAACTTAGGCCCAACCCCAACACTATCCCTAGACCTAGGCCCAATTCAACTGGAGATGAAGCCTGAACTTGGTATCCCAGTCCTATACCAAGGTAAAGCCTAACATACTATGGCTAATACGAGATCTAATACAATTACTTTAGATTGGATTTTGGTTTTGAAACCTGAATCAATTCATTAGTCATATATGATGCAAATTTGACCCTATCAGATTCGATTAAGATCGACCTCTGATTAAACTTTAAGTTTTTAACAACGTTATTAGATGCATATGTGGTTGAATTTGATCCAAATCCAATCTTATGAGAGTCCTACATGCAAATACAAATATGTACGGTGCAAATACGTATAAAATATTATATAATATAAGAAAAATTCCCAATTAGTATTATGTATTTTGGGTCTAAAATTATTCTGAGCTGTTAATCAGCTGTTAAACGTGGCAATAATTTAAGCATATAAAAAATATATAATAAATATTGTGGGCTGGACCATGCTTAAATTATTGGTCTCAGGTTCATTCAGAAATCCGAGCTTGATACAGGCCCAAGCTGGGCCAAGAGACAAAACATTCAGTTTGGGCTAGGCTGGATTGGAAATGATCACCCCTACAGCCCTACCTAGGATTACAAATTGACGAGTTTAAACTTGATGCGATATATCACAATCCAGTTTGATAATAAGTAAGGAGATCAATTTCAACCTCATAACTGACAAATATGTAAAACATATGAATTTTTCCAATGCTTTCAACCCATCATTAACCCGGATGATTGGATTGCTCAATGCTAGAATTCTGTTGATTTGGTATCGTCAACCTGGCCGGTTGAACCTTTGATCCATTCAACTGCTTATCTCCTTATTTTAAATCTTGAAATCTATAATAATATACAAAATTCACCTGGCTGGTTGACTTTATAACCAAAAAAAAATGGGAAATAGGAGATTATGGATGCAAAAGAGAGAGAGAGAGTATACATCTGCACCCCACAAATGCCCCACAGCATATCCCAACCTTGTATTGAGAACATCTCCCACTGACAACTTTGGGAGATATTCCCAATGCATGCTAAGATGTGCATATGGGGTATTTGTGGGGCACAGATGCGATCACAGTGGAAGCGATCTTTTTTTTTATTTTTTTTTGTTTGTTATTATTTTGATTTTGAAAGCCAACCAAGACAAAATGTTCATTCACTAAAATCAAAGTTACAGATCACTCAGTAGATATATACGAAGGAAAAAAAAAAGGAGAATAATGGTTCATCCCTGGGTCGAATTCATAGGCACGAAGTACAGTTGGGGCAGGTGTCAGCTCAAAATGGCGAGCATTGATGCATAGGATGGGGTAATTAATACTTTGAAATATTGTAGATCTGCACTGAAAATCAGAATTCTAAAATAAATCTATCCGTACTCCGAAAAAAGAAAAAAAGCTAAGAATCCGAGTAGTTAAACATGGTCCCAAGTGATGGATTAACAATGGTGAAGCCCCCATCAATAAAGAGGTTATGGCCACTGACATATCTGGAATCATCACTCCCCAAATAAAGCGCAGCTTGAGCAACATCCTCAGACTTAAGGGTGACACCACTATTGGGGTTATAGCTACGGTCAAAAAACCTGTAGTTAAAACATGGGATATAACCACGAAAAATTTGATGTCCGTGGCAAAAAGTTGGGCTTCAGCTACCGACAATTTGTCCGTGGTTAAAAGTTATTCTGTTAATGGGTAAAAAATATTTATAGCCACGGTTACAATGTATCTATTGGCTATAAGTTACAAAAGTAGAAGTTGAGTTTTAGCTACGAACAATTTATCCGTGGCAAAAAGTTGAGCTTTAGCTACAGATAATTTATCCGTGTTAGAAGTTATTCTGTTCATGGCTAAAAGATATTTATAGCCACGGTTGTAATGTATCCGCGGCTATAAATTACAAAAGCAGAAGTTGAGCTTTAGCTACGGACACCTTATCTGTGGTTAAAGGTTATTCTGTTTGTGGCTAAAAGATATTTATAACCACGGTTATAATATATCCGTGGTTATAAGTTACAAAAGCATAAATTGAGCTTCAACTACGGATAATTTGTCCGTGGCTAAAGAGCTATTTATCATTATAGCCACGAAGTATAATTCTGTAGCTTTAATTACGAAGTTAATAATTTTTAGCTACAATCATTTTATTCCTTGCTCATAAATAATAACCATATAATATTCATTTGAATTATTTATTATTTATTAATTACTTTTTAAAGTAAACTAATAATTAAGCATTTATTAAAGTAAATGAATCTAATTAAAATTATTAGCTCATTACTATTGCATCACAATAATAATAATTAATGATTTCTATTTATTAATAATTAAATTAGAAAATAAATTATTAATAATTTCATAAGTATATTAATAAAAAGAAAATAATTTCTAAAATATAAAAAAATAAGTATTAATTATTATTTGATTAATTAAAACTAATCATCAAAAAATAAGTTAATTATTTAAGTAAATTAATAATTAATATAAATAATAAACTAAATATGAAAACCACTAATAGTAAATTAATTAATTACCTATGAATGAAAATAATATTGACAATTAAACTAAATTATTTAAATTCATAAATAAAATATTAATATAGATAAATAATTATTATTTTATTAATTAAATAATAACTAAAAATTTATTTAATAAATTATTTCAACCACTTTACCAATATTTTTGCCTCAAAGTGTAATTTTTAACTTTTTTTATTTGTGAAAGATGAAAAACTTAAATAAAATATAAATGAATCAATATATATATATATTCTAAATATTTCAAAACAACATTATTTATTCTATATATAATAAAACATATAACACTAACCAATGTTTAGAAAGTTGGACAAGACCAATACCAGTTAGTCAGATTATTATTAAACCATGACCCAACCCTTAACCAATTCGATCATACACCTAACCCTATTTACTCCGAAAAAAAAGTCAAAACCATCCACCAAACTGGTCTAACCCAATGAATAATGAATTGGTCTTGGGTAACTTTTTTGCTACCTATGTGTTTTAAAGTACTAAAGGCACATTACACTACTATTTTTGCCATAAAATAAGGGTGATCATTTTAGTGAGTTAGAAAATTTCACAATTGGACCTGGATTTTGTGTTTAAGCCCTGGCCGAGGCTCGGGCCCACATTAGAGCCCCAATTATATTTAATAAAATTCATTTTTCTTTATAAATGGTTGAGATTGAATGGAAGTAAAAAATTTGAAAGACCGCTAAAATAATTGATGTGAACTCTCTCCCGTGCACAATAAACCCTTTCCCTCTCTATTCGACTTCTCTCATTTGCACCAAAAACCTTCTTTTCCCTCCCATTCCCTATATACTATTGAGATCACCCTTCCAATCAAACAGTTGAACAAAGAATAGGTATGGGTCTCTTCTTCTTATTCTTCTCCTCCTCTTCTTTTATTAAAGAACAAGACATGCACGCAATCGAGTTTCTCTCCATACAAGCAAACTTGTGAAATTATGGGTCATGGGCCCATATTAGGGCAAAAAATTTTAGGACCAAGTGTAAGCAAATACTTTAAGCTTGACATGGACCACAAATTATAGATAATGTATACATATATACATATGTTATTTTATGTTACATCATCATCAAAGGTTTTAAAAACCAACCCCAAAACTAGAAATTCTTTGGTCACTAGTTTCCAAGTCATTGGTTTGACTATCCAGTCCAAATGGATTGGACGTGACAATTTAAAAATAAAAATGGCCCAAAATCGTTGTCTATGTCAAATCACTACAAAAAAATGTATAAATACCTACGAACACTTTTACCGACGGCCACCAATATGTTGGTATAGATGATATTTTCCGACGAATATTTCTATCCATCACTATATGTCTTGGCAACTACCGATGGAATCATTATCTATGGCTGAAACTATATCTATACCGACTATTATTTTATTGATAATCAAAACCCGTTGGTATAGATAGGTTTTACCGACAGAGATGGGATCCATCATTATATAGGTCTTATAA